GTGAAGTGTCGCTCTCCCAATCCATTACCGTCTGTCGCACTCTTCGGCACACAGTAAGCCTCGCCGGACAGGTCAGTGCGCGCAATGGCGTGGGTGGCGGTACACTGCTCGGCATCTGGCAGCGTCGGCTGCCCCCCAAAACTCCGCTGGTTGGTGCTGGCAACGTGGAAACCGTCGTAAGTCATCATGTTTCCTGCTCTCCTTTAAATATGAATTTTGCATCAAAATTCTGTCCTTTGTATACACTCTTTCCCACAGGTGACCCGTTATTTTTAGGTTATTCTACGCATTGCAGCAAGCTTATTCCACACCGAACCCTGCTTTACCTCTAAGGAAACCCACGGTATCGAAAAAGTTAATTTGTTTCGTGACAACTAGGCCGCAACAAACCGCTCCTCTTTAGAACTACAATCGAATATTCAAGAAACTAGAAATATTGTTTTAAGCATGGTCTTGCAGTGTACAATCGTAGTTCGTACACCTCCTGTGTGATGTTGTGCCTTGTGTTCTACTATCTTCATTCTCTTCCATATTAATGACGGTGGTGGCGATGCTGGTACTAGCGAAGGAGTATAGAGTAGCCACTGCGTACTTGCGCGCTTGCCACAGTCACCATGTTTGGTGGTAGTTTTGACAGCGGTCACTGTTGTGCGCACTCTGTCGCTGCTTCCCGCGCACACAAGCCTTCCAATTAATTCCGGTCGTCAATTTTGTTATTCTTTTTATTCGTCCATGGGCCAAAGGCCTTTTGAAGCGATATCTTAGCTACGGCGGTTAGGGACCAAGTCTGTCAACGGGATTGCTTCAAAAACAAGGTCTCCGGAGAAAGCTGTCTAACGCACAGACAATATACAATTTAGGAAGACCTTACCTTCCAACCGGTAGCAGACAAGTGCCTCGCACTTCAGAGGTCTTTGTTGATTGCAGACTTGAAAATCAAATTTCTGTAAAGGCACCGCCACAGCCAGCAGACTTCAATAACAGTTCTTTCGACAGCGGTACTCCTACTGTGTAAAATCCACCTTCTGTGGCCTCCATATTTTCATATCTTTCTCCCCCCCCCTTATACGGTAATTTAAATGGCCGGTCTAAAGGTGTATTGCTGATATTGTATTGTTTAGCGTCTCAGCTGGGGGTTGTCAGAAGAAGGTTTGTGACAAATAGATTAACGAGTGTTGCAAATGTTTCTATCATGGCAGTCTTTCGTTAAAGCCCTGTTTGGTTTATTCTCGTTTTCCCCTACCTCCCCATAGGTGTCCTGCGGTCGCGCTGGACGCGGCCTTGGTGTGGGTGTCAAGCTGTACAAAGACTTACACGATCGTCTCTCCGGGTTTGTGGGCCTCGAGATAGCTCAGCTACGATCCAGGCGATCTAACTCCCTGGCTCTGATGCCCGGTGCTTCCATAGGCTTCACCTTCCAGATCGCGCCGCGCATCTACTCCCGTCTCCAGTACGCCATTAATCTCAATGGCG